TCACATTCCATAAAATAGGGGCTCAAACCTCATATTAGGGTTTGTTATTAAACAGCGGTCACGCCGTGGCGAATAGATGCCATGATGTGGCACTAGCTTAGTGACCACGAAACTTTGGCCTTGGCCATGCCGTGAGACTCAATCACCACGTCGTGGCCACCAAAAATCCAACATCCAAAATATCATATTACTTAAAAGAAACATACCCTAAACTTGGCGTTACAATTTCTAGGAATACTTTTAAAGTTTTTTGAAACTCTGGTTTTTGTGATGACATGTAAAATATGATATTTCCCATAATTTAAATGGTTAATGTTTATGAAAAATATGGGTTGTTACACCATTGCCGCTTTCAATGTTTGTGTTTTGAAATTACTAAAGAAACAAAAGAAACATTAACATGTGGATCCATGTTGCATGTCTCTGAACCACCTACAACATCAATATAAAATGGTTAGATTCCCTCTCAGTATATGTGTTCCGTGGACGTACACCAAAATTTACCAAAGACAATTGAATATTGCACAAAATGGAACCTTTAAATTGATCCTAGAAATATTTTCATTAGATATTTTAGGTAACAATTTGTATAAAAGGGGACACCCCTATTCTGCAATCTGAACATTCTTCTAAAATATCATTTTTAACAACTAACAACCATCTACTAGCTAGTATTACCCTAGACAAAAGTACTAACCCTTCCCCCACCAAAACTATACAAGATAGGCCCTAACTATCAATTCTAAACCATGAACAAACTATAAGATAAGGCACATAGACAGAAATACACAAACATATTTGTCCATTTCATTTTGGTCCTAAGCGTCTAGACTTCGACCCTCATCTCCATCACATGCATCTGAAACTTTTATTGATCTTGAACCCTCAGAACTTCTATCACAATAAATTTCTTTTCAACCTTCGTCATTGCCCCTAATTCTTCATTTCTATTCAGATTAGTTTTCACCCTCCATCGAGGGTTAAGTATTCACATTTTTATCCTAATATGATAAGAAAAAAATACGAAGAAAAAAACTCACAAAATTAATGATAAATCAATGCATATTAAGGTTAAATCAAGGCACAAACATAACACTAAATCATGCTACAAATACGAACTAACCAGTGAATGTGTCCAGTTGAACCTTCTCTTAGGAATATCGAAGCTCCAATAAATTCTTTCTTTGTTTGTATGGAACCTAAAGCAAAAGGGGATACCTACCGATGAGGTGTTACAAATGGGAAGTAGATTGTTGGTCGTCGAGTTTTGTGACGACAACATTTTCCGTTGTGGTTTAAATTTGGGTTCTTTAAATTCACAAGCGACTTTAAGGGGAACGAATATAACAAAGTGATTTTCTCAAGGGTTTAGTTGTAGGGTGTGGAGAGGTGAGCCACTTCGGTGAAGGTAAGGTGTTTGTGGTGGCATGTGGTAAACACCCCCAAAGCTCCACCACACTGCTTTGCCTTTTGCGGTAGAAAAATGCGGCAACCCTCCCCCACTTTTCAATATTCCAACTGTTATATATATATATATATATATATATACACACACACACACACGTTAGGATTTTAAGCATACTTCTATCTTCATTTCTCAATTGCGAATGAAATGCCATCATTATCTTCATAGTTGTTGGATAATTGGGCGATGAAGGAATCGTTGTTTGTTGCAAGAATGATGAATACACAATTGAAATTCTAAGAAATGTTGAAGTCGAAAGTTTAAGTTCGAGAGAGAATGATGAAACAAACAACCAAAAGTTGCTTTACACATGATCATCTCGTACATGACTACTTTGTCAAGTATGTTATTCATGAAGCTTACCGGTTTCGAAGATGGTTCTGAATATACAAACATTTATTCCTAAATATAGTTGATGATTTGGAGAGGAAGTATCAAGTTTTCCAATTAAAATTTGATGGAGGTAAAAAGGTTTCACTCCATTAAAAAATACACAACCACGCTCGTCTATTAACATACAATACTGCGTCTGATTCATGGAATGCGTTTTTGAAGATGTATGTGCGAACCACACAAGAAATTGTCTATATGTTTTTTAAATGTGTCATTAGGATTTTCAATGCACGATATTTTGCATAAGCTTACATTCAATGACATTCAAAAATTGTATGTGGCTCATGTAAATGTAAACATACATGACTTTCCTAGAATACTTGGAAGCATTGATTCTCTCAATTGGTCATATGTGCTAATTGCCTAAATACATGTCACGGCCAATATATGTGAAGTGATCATGGACACCTAAAATTAATTTTAGAAGCAGTGTTTTCACAAGATATATGGATTTGGCATGCATTCTTTGTTGATGCTAGTTCCGACAATGATATTAATGTTATTGATAGTCGTCCATATTCAACATGTATATTGGAACTACACATGTCTATGCATTTGAAGTGAACGGAGCATCATACAAGTACGAGTATGTTCTTGTCATTAGGATATATCCTGGATATTTTATATTTTTCAAATCATGGACAAGTCCAAATGATAAAAAAAACGAATAAGGTTTAAGGCAACTCAAAGAGTTAGGAAGGATGTTGAATGAGCATTTGATGTACTTAAGAAACGTTGGCACATAATCAATAACCTAAGACATTTATGGGAGCTGTGAAGAATGAAAGATGTAATGTATGCATACATCATATTACATAATATGATTTTAGAAGACGAAAAAAATATGATATGTCTGTATGACGAAAAAGATATTAGACTACTCCACAATACATGGCAAATAGAATAGAAATACATAACGAATATACATATCCCAATCTTCGTAGAATATAATTACATAACTCAACTACCGTATGTAGATGAGGAATAGGCCTGACAATCGTGTCGTGTTCGGGTTGGTGTGTCATGGGTTGGCGGGTTGGCGGGTCAAAATATGCCAACCCAAACACGACCCATTTAAATATACAGGTCACGGGTTTGCGGGTTTGGAACATAAACCCATATATGACCCGCCAACCCATTTATTTATACGGGTTCATAGGTTGGCGGGTTCGTGGGTCAGATTTGGGTTCGTGGAACATAAACTTTGAGATTATTATTTAGGACAAATGGGCAAAATGGTTACAGACTTAGCCTTACAGGTTATGACTTACGACCTTAGGCCATCCACCACGAGTCAAAATGTCAAAACAGTCAAATGGTCTATAAATCAATGATATATATTATATAATACTTATTAAATATTAAGATTTGATACATAAATACATTTAAAAATAAAATATTTTTTTTTTATTAAAAATATAAACGGGTTGGCGGGTCAACCTGTTTATTTTTTGAGAAACCCATATATGACCTGTTTATTTTTTGAGAAACCCATATATGACCTGTTTAATAAACGGGTTGGCGGGTTAGCGGGTTGAAAAACTCAACCCAAACCCATTTATTTCGTGTCGTGTCGTGGGTCGTGTCGCGGGTCGTGTCGAGAATTGTCAGCCCTAATGAGGAATAGAGAGAGGGAGAATGATTTTTAGCATAATTTTTTTTTATTGTTATGTGATTTTGAAATTATAAGTTTTAAAATAGTGCAATGTTTTATTATTTTTTTTTATTAATGTTGATTTTGTTTTTATCTAGTATAATCTTTCATTTATTTTTAATTAATAAATAATATTGTATTTGTTTTTTTTTTTTTTAAAAGGACATAGACAAAGAGAGCAAGACAATTTCCTAGATGAAAGGTTAAAAAATTGACATTGAAGTGACAAATAAAAAAAAATTAAAGTTGTGGTATGTTACCACACCCATAGCCTTAGAGTAAAACCATGTGGAAATGAAGTCGCCACATCATCATATCCCCATTTGCTTTTAACCGGTCAAACCTAAGAGTGAACATATGTCGATTTGGGGCAAAACTGAACTCAACCCATTAATTTTGGTTTTCAGTTTTTAGAATCCATTTGATTCGGCTTCTTAATTGATTCAGTTACTGTTTTATCTAGTTGAGCCCATAGGTTTACACGTTTTAGGTCTGTGGGTTTTAGTTTTAAACCTATTTCCGGCAAATATAAACAAAATAACTCACTCAGATTCTCTTCCATTGTTCTTGCCAATTAAAACAATCAAAAACACCAAAATCAACTAAATAGTCAAGGAAATATTAAACCGCCAAATTTAGAAGTTTACAACCAAAAAATAAAAACACCATCAAAGTAAAACACAAACAATCAATTACAACCAACACATGAAAACACCAATCCTCAATTACCGGGTTAGGTTCCATATTTTAGCTTTTTATTTTTTTAAAGTATGTATTAAATATTAAATAATAAGAAATATATGTTATGGGTCGGTTTATGGCTTTGGGTTGATTCGGTTTTAGTGGGTCAGTTTTTGAACTCAAAACCCAAACCGATTTTTTTGGCTTTTGAAATCTGCACCTAATACCAATGGTTTTGATTTGGTTTCATCGGTTTTTCTCACTCCCGGACCGAAACCAATAGGATATAAAAGTACAAGCCAAATAAAATGTTATTTACTTCACCGAAAAAGAGCTTAATTACCAAATAAGATCAAACCTTATAGTTTATTGGTCAATGATAAAATGTCTCTCCTACTGTACCTTAATCAACGAATGAGGACATTCCATCATACAACTTCATTCCATCCCAATGGTCAATGGAATGAACCATTCCATTCCTTATCCGATTCCGTCATACAAAACACAAGTATAACGATATACATGTTAAGAAGAACAACATCACAACACAACTCGAGAGCTATGCATATCATAATTCAAAACAAGCCAATCATCATTCAAAACTTTGCAACTTTCAAGAAACTAGTATATGGAGTTAGTTAAGCATTCATTAACATTAAGCAGGTTAAGTTAAATTCAAGCAAATGCAGCTAGCCACATGTTACAAAAAATGTAAAAAGAAGCCAACAACATGCTTACAAAAATCATCATCTCTAATTAGTAATTATTATTAATAACAACTCACCTTGAACCGAGTTCCATCACCACTCAAGCAGGTTTCCAACAAGAAATAGCATAAACAATTCTTCCTTTCCACCCCTGCAAAAGCCAATTGTTGTCTTCATCAATCAAGAAATCTTTATGATATAAACTGACTTTCTCCCTCCCCCGGTTTATAATAAACCGGGAAAAAGGAACCGGAATTAAACCGACCCTCAAATTACGAACATGCCACTGCTTATAAGTCTCAGGTCTCTCACTCCTATCCCATCCTTCACATGCAATCACATTCAAAGCTTCTCTCCCAAAAATCTCTCTTTCAAGCAACGCCCTTTCAGGGTTCTCACGTGGCACATTCGTCTCAAGCATATCAAATAAAGCTGAAAAATGAAAAAGAGCTTCACGAAAACGGGTCAAGAAAAACGGGGCGTTGTAGGACCCGTTTAGGATTCCATGGATGAAAATATCCGGGTTTATCTTCTTTATCAGATTCAAAACAACATTTCTTGCACTATCCACAACCACTGTTTCATCAAGCAAGTTTTTAGCTCGATACATACAGTTCACTACCAAAAACTCACCTTCATCAAGCATCAAATCTTCAACTGTAACATTTTCCCATCTCTTAGCAATGGGAAAATACTCAAATTCCACATTGAATGACTTGGCATACGCTTTCAACCGCTGACCTGTCTCTTCGATTCGCTGAGCTGGACGAAACCCAGGTTGTGGAAACTCGATACCAGTTATCTTAACCCTAGGTGGCCCACCTTCTCTTTCTGAAATCCGTTGAATAAAAGTAGGCCATTGAAACCCATAAAGAATACCAAAATCAATGATGTGTACTCTTGATGCATTCGCTGATTTATCCATGATTGTTCTATTGGAAGCAAAATTTGAAATCTTTCTGAAAGGGGAAGATGCCATGTACAAATGGTAAGCTTTTATATAATCAGCAGCACATGTTTTCTTGCTGACTAATGCTTTATGGATTTGACTACCATTTCCAGCCAAACGTGCTTCAAGACCATCTGCAAAACAGTGAGCTAACCTTTGAGTTCCATCACCAAAAGGAGAAGCGTGTTGTCTGATTTGTTTCAGAAGATCATTTGCTTTTCTTCTGTCATCAGATGCAACAGCTTGTGCACAAGTAATCAAAAGGGTTCTCAAATCTATCACTTCTTTTTTCATGTTTTGTTTCCTCCGACGACTTTTGCTTTTGCCTTTTTTCCCTTTCCCTTGATTTAAACTTGTATCTTCACAATCTTGTAATGTGTCTTTACATTTTTCTACACGTAAAGTGTCACGAAATGAATCTAAAGCAACCTTACCTTCTCCCATACTTGACAGAAAAATCAAGTCAAGCTCTTTGGATCTTAAAGTGGAATCAGGAAAAATGGCTGCCTGCTTGATAGTCCTTTCTTGTTGTTCTAAATCTGTTGCATCTTCCCCAAAAGGATTCTTTCTTACCCTGGACACTGTTGATGACAGTGACACGTCTCCATTAGAAGAAACAATCAATTTGTTGCTAAAAGGAAGGAACTTGTTTGCTTCTTCAACGCCCTTTTTAAACTGCCATGCCATCTGATTCTCATGACAATGATCAGAAGTGCTTGCAGGAGAATCCAAATCCAAACCCCTGTCAACGTTATAATTTACACTGCTTGATGATCCAAACGATGTTGTGTATGATACATTTTGAGGTCCAAGATTGTGTAGATTTGTAGCATCATGTAAGTAACCACTGTAAGTGTTTTGAGTTGAGAAGGGGAAATCATCTAGGCTTTCTCTATGGGGGTCAACAGAAGTCAAACCACCTTCAGAGGAGGATGAAGTCCATGGGGGTGGTGATGGAGGGTACTTCTTGCCGAGAACTTCATAGAAAGGTTTCTCTGCAGCTTGAAGATCTAAAGACTCTTGAAGCATGCAAGACCTATCTTCCATGTCTTCTTCCATGAGTACCTGACTAATGTATCCCAAAATTGCATCTGATAAATCGCAATCTTCATGAAGCTCATCTTCAGGACTTGGAGTCATACTAGGCACAGGAAGATTGTTTAAAGGGGGAACATGCAATCCTCTGAAGTTTTGACTGTAAATGGAATCTCGATACCTACTACCTTCATTGACTGGAACATAACTTGAGAAGCTATTCTCAAACATAGGACCATTATTTAAATTCTTATTGCCCGGAAAAACAGGTATACTTCTTCCATTTCCATTCCCGTTTTCATCTGAGGAAGTATAAATTCTACCAAATCTCGGATCCATCTATGTCAACTTGATGAAAACCTTTAATTGGGTTCAACTTGGATTTTCGACAATACATTCAAGTTGCTAATCTTATTTCAAAGCCCTAAGTAGACACCGTTAACACAGACACACGAAGTTTCGCAATCTCCTATAGAACAAGATACTCGAAAAAACACAATAAATACACAAGGGTTTTAACACATAAGCTTAGAAATCAAACTCAAAGAGTAACAACAAAACCAATCGGGAATCCGATGTACCTTTGTACACAGCATACTGATCTTGGCCACTACCCCTATACTAGAAAAAACATGAAGCTTTTGAAATGAAAGATCGCTGGATATGACAGAGACTATAGTGCGGAAAGTAAATGGGAAAACTCGGTAGAATAATCCGAAAATGGCGCACTTATTATAACCTCCGATAAACGAAGGTTGTTGAAGCATCAATGACGTTCTTTTGACGAAAATAAATGGAGCATCAAAGAAGACTGACGTGGGGACACATAAATTCAGGGGAAACAGGAAGCTGCCCCATTATTTCCTAGGAAGATATGATAATTATTATCTTTTTAGTCCCCAAGTCCAAATGTTTTTACCTTCAATCACTTGCAAAATAAATAAATTAATAAATAAAAAAAATCAATATTATTTCCATTTTTTTCATTTTCCAGCAATTATAGAGAATGGAGAGAAAAAATCAAAAATTGATTGACACCAGAATTAAAAAGACGGAAACTAGGAAAGTTGTTGTATAGATTAGATTAGGGTGTTTAAAATCGGATATCCAAAAATATGGATAGTAGATTTATGATATCTCTGAATTTTCGAATACAAATTTAAAATATCAAATTTGGTTATTTGAAAATTCTCATTTTAAAAACAATTAAAAAGAATTGGAAAACCAGGTAAGTAATCTATAAGAAAATTAGAATTCACATTAAGAAACAACAATAATTTACAATTAAGCACATTCCCCATTTTTTTACTAACTTCGTCAACTTTTTTACAAAATTCTTTGTCTTTTTTTCGTTTCTTCTTGAATGTACTAGACTTCATGTTCATAGAAAATAAAATACGGCCACACTAAAACCATATTATAAAACTTAGTGTAAATTATAGTTTTGGTCATGTGGTTTAGGTAGATTCATACTTTTGGTCCAACCTTTGGAAAATGGACAAGATGCATACCTGTGGTTTCCCAATCTTGCAGTTTTGGTTCTTGGTCTATATAAATAAACTATATTGCCCTTTCTAATTTTTTTTTCTATTTTCTTTTACTCTTTTTAAAAATATAAAATATATTTTGGGCCCACCACCCCTAACCCTCCACCCTAACCTCACTGTCTCTCTCCCATTCTTCTTCCTTTTTCGGTCTTCTTTCACCATGTTCAAGAGTGCCACTCTACCCTATATTTTTTCTTCCCAGTTCTTTTTCCTTCTTCTTCCTAATCCATATAGAATCATAGTAGTGGTAGATATTTGAGATTGGCGTTGGTGGAGCAGATGAGGGGTTCGCTACTGTAGGAAGCAACGGAGTCACCGGGATGGGGGAAACAACGATGAAGAATAGGATGGTGACGATGGAGAAGATGGTTGATACAATGTCGAGGATATGATAGTTTTAGATTTTACACAATGTAATTTTGAATCGATGAGCCATTTGTCATAATTGGTATGTTACTAGGTTTAGAAATATAAATGGCGATAGAGATGAGATATACACATGTCTCTGAAGGGACAGAGGTTGAGACACTAAAGGGGGAGACGGAGGATCTATGAGATCTGAAGGTGATGAATCAAACGGAACAGGAGGATAGGTGAGATCTGTAGGTGACGAATCAAAGGCAAAGGGATGATAATGGGTGGTTTCAAAAGGAGATATGGAAAGGAGTTGATGGGAATTGTCATCTTGTGTTCTTGGAGAAAATCACCATTATTGAATCTCCTTGTGCCCAGATGGAGGAGATGAACTGAAATAGATGTGTTCTGATTTTCTTATGGTAATGTTGATTGATGATGATGGGAGATGAAGTAGCAGTGACGACTAAAGCTCTGGGGATGTTTATGGCAGTGAATGAGAGAGATGAACATGACAGGTTGTGGTGGGGTGGGGGTAGGGGCGGGTGGTATGGTATGATGGACATTTTTTATTTTTTACATTATCAAAATTTATAAGTGAGTAAAAGAAAATAGAAAAAGAAAGTAAAAAATGCAATATAGTCTACTTATATGGATCAATGACCAACACTGTAAGATTGGGAAACCACGGGGATGTGTCTTGTCCATTTTCCAAAAGTTGGACCACAAATGCGAATCTACCTAAACCACAGGGGCCAAAATTGTAATTTACTCTAAAATTGATATCGAGCGGGGCTTTAATTCTTTTACACCTTAGAAACATTAATTTTTTTTGGTGAAAACTCAAAGACATGAAAGACTTTTAAGTTTTAACTATTATATATTAGGCCGGAGGAAGTGGTGTTACTCTATTCAAATTTTTTTCACTGTCACGTAAGCGATACGTTAGTTTTTACCACAAAAGTGTGGTTCCTTGCCACACACAATGAGTGGTGCCATATTTTTTTTAACAATTTAATTTAAATAAAAACATTATTTTTAATAAGAAAAACATTACATTGTCTTACTTAAAAAAACCATAACATAACATTAAAAAAAATCCTAAACACTTGGAAAAAAAACTAGAAATCTTAAACTGAAATTCTTCAAAAGACGAAGATAACGACATTTTCTAATGATTTTTGGATAAATAGATATAGAAAGATATAAGAATTGGATTTATGTTTAAATAAACTAGTCGTTTACTCGCGCAAGACGGCGACGGCGAATAGTTTATGAACGTTCTATTTTGAGGGTCGCATATAGTTTGGTTTTGTGAATTGTTTCCCTTTTGGTGAACGGGGAATAGTTTCGGAGCTATAGGCGCAAGTGGTTGGTTTGTTTCATCTCAACGATGTATTTGATTAAAAACAAAAACGCATTGTTGTTTTAGGTTAATGCAATTTGGTTTCAAAATATACGCATGTTGATGTATTTGATTAAAATGAAAGTAAATTATTGTTTTTAGTTTAAAAATACAAGTGTGTCGTTGTTTTATGCAAAGCAGCCACAACGAGTAGTTTTTTAGACAATTAGGGGCTCTCATCTCTTATTAATTTTCCAAAAAGTACATTTGTAATCCTCTTTTATATTTTTTTTTATTCTGGTTATTAATTTTATCATATTTCTAATATAAAATAAAAAATATTAGAATTCTTGTATAGATCAAAAGGAGGTTAAATTCACATGTCATACATTTTTAGTAATTGTATAAGCAAATAGTAAATTATTGTTTTGATGATCATAATTTCATTACAAATCAATGCGTTATTTACAATAATGAAATTAGAAAAGGGAAAAATAATTACATGAAATACAATACACAAACTTTTACACATCACGATTGTTATATATGTCGTATGCTAACCACCTCTTTCCTATAAAAGACAAAAGTTCGTATAATTTATGGTTAGAGAAGAACTTAGCAAACACCAAAAGTTTATAACCTAGGTATGAGAGCATACTAATGATTATGCAGCTACATTTTGCCTGAAAAATGAATAACTGTAAGACCTTCCAGTATGCCTAGCACGAGCATGCTTGTGGTCTAGCTGGCCACGAACAACAGTCGTGCACACCAACCCGCATGTTCGTGGTTAGCCGTTTTCGTTTTGGTTCGTGGTGGGGAGAAAGATGGTGCATGCCCAATAAAACCGTTTCTTTGTTTGACCGAATATTATAGTCGTTGAACGACTAACTTTTCCATAATAATAATAATAATAATAATAAAAATATTAAATAAAAATAAACATAAATTTTAACAACTTTTACCTATAAAAACCACACTATACACACATATTTCTTACACCATTCTTTTTTTTCTCTATACACAAAAACACACAACATTTCACAACCAAAAAACCATGCATCCCAACCAAAATACCCCCTAAACTTTAGAAATCGCAAACCCGATAACACTTTTGCGTTAGATACCACCCCTCTATGATGCTCAAGATCGTTCAATGATGCTCAGAAGTTGGTATTTCTCAAGGATTACACCATATTGTGCCACCATGATGAATGTTGGGCCATTAGCGTTCATGATGCACCACTTGTGCATCATGATGCTCCACTATGGTCAAGGTGGTCAATCATGTGTGTTGTTGATGCTCATGGGTTGTATGACATTGATGAATGTTCCAGATGATGATGTATGGCGGGATATGATTGGTTGTCACCATTCATGGGCCTATGGGCCAATGGACTTGGCCCATTAGGGTTTTAGGTATGATCGCTCAAGTATAAATAGACTCATATCTTCATCATTATGAATGCGCATAAATTTCAAGAAAGTAATCATTGTGAGGTTGAGAGCACTCCTTTAGAGCAGTTAGTAAGCAAGAGAGATTCTTTTATTTTGAGAGCTCAAGCGAGGTGACCTTTGTGTGTGATTGAACTTGTTCTTGGAATTTAATAAAATCCCCTCTCTCTCTCTCTCTATCGTTCTCCCGTGGATGTAGGTCACCTTGACCGAACCACGTTAAATATTATGTTCACTTGATTTACATTTTTAGAAGTTTTATTTCCGCAAGTTCACCAAAGTTTGTTTTGATATTTGTCTAAAGTTCTTAACTTGTTTTGTTGTCATCCCAGCAAACTGGTATCAGAGCTATGGCTCAAGACGTGAGAGTTAAGATCGACAGGTTCAATGGAAAAGATTTCGGTTTCTGGTAGATGCAAATCGAAGACTACCTCTACCAGAAAATTTTACATGGACCATTGTCCAAAAGTAAACCTGAAGGAATGAAGCAGGAGGATTGGGATTGTTAGATCGGAAGCCACTTGGTGTGGTGAGATTATCATTGGCAAAGAATGTAGCATACAACATTGTCAATGCAAAGACTACTCATGAGTTGATCAATGCACTATCTAACATGTATGAAAAACCTTCAGCAACGA